TGAAGGGTAAAATTTTATTTTAACCCCTGAACTTCATATAAAATTTTAATTATAGATTTTTTTTATAAATCTAAAATAGTTTAAGGATAAATTTGTAATTTAACCTTCGTAGAATTTTTATTATTCAATGACAGAATAAGGATATTTTTGAAAAAAATAATAATTTTAAGGGCATTTTAGTCCAAAACGTCGGTAATCCAACAATACCTAAGGAAAGGGAGGTAATGACATTCCCGGTAATATAACCCAAAAATCCATTATTGAGAATGTAAGATTACCGGGAATAAAATTCCCGACCAACCAAACGGGGGAATATGGATTTCATTCTCATTGGAATCTCACATTCCCCCAACAAAACACACCCTGGAGTGAATAGCTAGGGAATAGGGATGGATATTTTACTTAAATTTGACAAGTTTCAACTCAATCCGATCTGGTTGGTTAAATTGATTATTTATTTAAGAAAAATTACGTTAGGTTAGATTTTTTCTGAGTAGAGTCAAGTAAGGTTGAATTCAAATTTAGAGTAAAAATATCCAATATGATCTTACTCAACACAATTTTATAATTACATATTATATATTTAGACATAATTACAATAATAATCATTTATATATTATTTAAAATTTATTTAGAGTAAAAATATCCAATATGATCTTACTCAACACAATTTTATAATTACATATTATATATTTAGACATAATTATAATAATACTCATTTATATATTATTTTTAATTAAAATTTTATTTTACCTAATAAAAATGATTGGATATGTATATTTGAACGGATCAAGCGGTCAAGTTCAAACAACCTAATAGAAGTGTATATGCATTATCAAATAACTAAGAAATCTTGAACTTTCTTCACATTTTAAATCAATATTTTAAACGGAACTTTAAACTCAAACTTCTGATCATAACATCAATGCCAAGTTAAGCCCAAAGTTTTTCTTTCTAACCCCAACATTTTTCAAAGCAGACCTCTGTATGGTATGGGTTGAGTTTCAACTAACTTGACCCGATCTGAAAAATATATACCCTCCACCTGACCCATATCCGACACGACTTTTTGAGATAAAATTCGAATTCGATCTGATCCGAAATAACAAAACATATTATTTTTATTCAATAAAAACAGTGATTTAATTGAAAAAATAATATATAAAAGGGTATTATTATAATTATTCTTAAATATACAAGGTAAAAAAAATTTCAAGGTCGGGTCAGGTATTTTTCATCCTAAATCCAAATCCAACCTGACCCAAATATCACCTTTTAAAATAACCGAACTGACCCGATCGGGTCAGGTCAGAACCCATCGGATTCGGGTCCCATGCCCATCCCAATCAGTATCAATGATAAGGTTACAACCTTATAACAGGAAGAACACGGTTTCAACTAAACAAAACGAAACAATAATCTCTAATGGTACTTCTGAAAAACCGACCTTATGGTTGTCAACCCAGACATTCAATAAATTTCTCTCAAAATGCCAATTTCTTAGGACATGCAAGAAACATCAGATGACAATAAATCTTATTACACAACATGGTGCCAAGAGACAACATATAACTCTCCTTTCCAAGGTTTACTATTATGTTTGATTTGAAACAAGCAGAGAAACAAAATCTCCTGCAGATGATGATCTGAGCAGCGTTGACGACAGTAGCACCTTAGGCGATGCTATAGAGGAGTTGCAAATCCTGTAAGGATAATCCAAATTGATCAATAACTTAAACCCTAAGAACCACAGTAGTCAAAGGCAACATGCTATACACTTATCCCGGAAACTGATGACAGATATGCTTCCAACTAAACAGAAATAATGTTTATTCAAGTGTTTTAAGTTTATGAAATCATATGCCACTTCAAAATGCTCATATGACTAACACCGATAAAGCTTTCTCTTGCAAGCTAAAAGTATGTAAAACCACAATTAAGATGGAAAACATGGTTTATCAAGGTTAGTAAATGAAAAACCACTTACATGTAAAATATATGCAAGAAGTTGTTCCTGAAAAATAGTTTCAAGGGGTGTCGACAACTTCAGATAGACTGAAAATTTAAAGAGAAATAAGAACTTTAAGCAAAATATTAAATCTCAAAAACAACTTGCTATAAGCAACTAGCAACAGTCAACTCCTTTAATTGAAAGATGAAGATCAGAAAATAGTCAGTTTAAGTTTCCCAAGGAGAAAAAATATTGGCAGCTGCTAACTGCCTCGTGTGCATGTGTGTGTATATATATATATATATATTTGAAAACAAAGTGTTGTAGCACCATGGTGTTAACAAACTTTCACTCCCAAAAACTTCCTAAAGAGATACAAGAAATCTAAGAGAAAAGGTAACACAAAAAAGACATCAGCGAGGTTTCTTCGCTACTAAAATGGTTGGCAGCATATTTGAGCACACTAGTGAGAACCATAACATTGGAGGCATCAAAGGAAATTTCCTAACTCCTAAAGCGAATAGTTTCACAATAATTCTACAATCAAATGTTGAGTTTAAATCGATTAAATGTGAACCATAAAAATAGGTACAGAGTTAGTGGTTTCAACGACAATACATCTAAAACAATCTGGGAATAAATGGATCTCAAACCAAATAGATTTTGGAAAACATTCAAAGAACTAGTTCAAAATAAGGCAATTAGATTCATAGATATTTCTTCAATCCCATCAACTATGCTCTTTTACCTTTTATAAGCTTCCCACACTGATAGTTACCCAGCATAAAAGAAATATATCAAGTTTTATAGAATGCAATTACAATTCAATCTTTAAACAATTTCAATTAGAGAACATGGCTCTTGAGTCGCGAATTTCAACATTCCCCACTTCAGCCATAAGTTCACAGATAAACATAAAATATACTCTTGCCTCTCTACCAAAGAAAGGAAAACAAGAAGAGGCTGCGTTCAATGTTCATTATAATGTACATTCCCAAACTCTTTGTTTACCATTCTGTTCACCAATCAAAGGGCAAAATATCTTAAACTCAAGAGCACATTTTCTTCCCTAAAAAATAGAGACAAATAATGCAGCAACGAATAGACATTTCAGGCATTAATACACTGCTATAATACAACTCAAAAGCCACTACAATAAGCTAAAGAACATAAAAACAAAAGTGAGCAGAGAAAGCAGAAATTACCTTCAGACAAACATTCCCAGCTTTAATTATGCAAGGACAACAATGAAGTGAACAAAGCAGAAGCCGTAACACTATGCAATGACATCAAAGTTACTGCACCACCCAATTCCAGTGGGATCCTAAAACAGAAACATCAAGCAAATTCTTATTCAGATATTAGAACAAAACAGCAAAATAATTTCCATAGAAGGGTTCTAACAAAATTACTAGAAGCAATACAAAAAGTGAGAGTAAAAGGCCCTGAACATATTTATAACAAATAAATGAAGCAGTGACTTTGAAAATGGAGGCAAAACCTGGAAGAAGTGAGATTGCGGAGAGAGAATCGAGAAGCATATATTTTTAGTAGGAGAGAAAAGGTCAGCCAGCTTGTTATTAGCAGGTCTTGAGGATGGTAAATGGGTCAAAATGGTTTTGGCTGAAGCGCAGGAGAACCCTAGGGTTCTTCTTCCACAAGTACCCGCCATGTTTCCTTTGGCCCAAAAACCCTGAAACCTAAAACCTCATATCTTTTTTATTTTTAGTTCTATTTTGATGAAGACAGGTCCTTTTGTGGGCTGGATATATATGCCTGGGAGATCTAGGTTGCTACTCCAATTCAAGGATTTAAATAACTGCGATATCTGTAATAATAACAATAGCCCTCGTTATTATTGTAATCATGATAAATATTATCATAATCATTTAAATTTTTATTCCATACATTTCAATCTATTATTTAATAATATTAATTTGATTTGATTCGAATTTTTACTTGAAAGGACAAGATTATTTGAACTTAATTGAATATTATTTTATTCAATTTATAATTAACTTTTAGTTTTATTTTTTATTTAATTCATAATTAGTCCTTTCAGTACTTTACATCTTTGAATTTTTTTTGGAATAATTCTTACTTAAAAGGGGAAAATAAATTTTTCTCAATGGATATTGAATCTACAATCTAAGGGAGATGAAAAATATCAATTAAAAGCTTTTAATCATCTATTCTAAAGATTGTTGACTATACCTTTATCTCTTCAATGACTTCAACGTCCCCATCCGTTCTACAGGTATGTTGATGGTCCAAACCACCTCGTGTATTGTCAAGATCAATATCGATGGTGCATGCCCGAGGCGACTTGGCTCCCCAACAGTTGGTATAGTTGTGTGGGACTGTTTTGGTTCAGTGGTAACAGGTCGTGCCCTCTCAATCCCCGGTTTGAGAACTGCTAGCCTTATCGAATGCGGCATGTCCTTTGTAATGGAATCCGTCTGGCTGTAGAGATGGAATTTCCTACTGCTAATCTGCTATCATGGAGTGCGACTCTTTTAAGGTGATCCAACAGTTGGAGAACAACAACGTCGACCAGTCGGTTCAGCATTTCTACTTGGCCGAGGCACGCAGGTTACTTGATGCTCATCTAGGAGTGTCTGTTTGCTATATTCGCCGTGATGCTAATGGCGCAGCACATGCTCTAGCCAACTATGTTTCTATGATTTCCATTTGTATTACTGCTCTTATTGCTACTGATGCTAATTTTAGCTAATGAAAGAATGGTTTATATTAAAAAAAAGAGTTTAAGATACATTTCAATCTTTAAATTTAATTATCGAATGGGATTGAAACCTTGAATTTCTCAAAGTCCATCTCAAAACCCTTCAATTGTTTGAAGTTTACAATTAAGCCTGACTTGGAAGAAGAAAAACGAAGAAGAATGAGGATGCCACGTGACAAGAGTTGATTGCTCCAATTTTTTAATGTTTGTTACGTTTATAGACCAAAATACTTAATGGAGTAATAGTTTAAGGAGTAACGCAAGCTTATTCCTTCCACTGTTCTCAGAAATTTTATTAGAACATAATTTGGAGAAAACACTGCTCCATTATGGCATTATCTTCAGATTTTCTACACAGAAAATTATACAACATGGGCTGATTGCAAGAGGAGAGTAAAAGCAAGGTGAAACTTGTGAAATGCTCATACAGCTGCTAAAGAGGGTGAAATCTGGAAATCCAGATTCCAGAGATCAAATTTCCCATTGACAAAATCGTAATGTGCACCTTTCAAGGCCACGGTTTTCTTCACCACTGCTTCTCTCACGAATGGATATGTCAACAGGTTGCCCAGAGATACATTCACTGCCTCCTGTATTTTTCCCCCCTAAACTATCAACACCAATATCCCACATTTAAAGAAGAAGAGAAAATTGTATATGATTTATTATCACCTTCTCGCAGTTGTTGCATTGCTCCAAGAAGCTTAGCTCAGTACATTCTGATTTCACTTTGGTCTTTGCTGGTGCACAGATGCTAACCCAATTTTCTATGAAATCACTGCAGTGTTCATAATTCAGACATATCAGATATGGATATATATTTCAATATTGCATGGGAGCCTGTACAGATTCAGACACTGAACGTAAAATATGCTACACTGATAAACGACGTCGTCTTACGTGGCAGTGGTCCCATCGTCTGGGATGGACATGAGACCCTTAATACCTCCACAGCAACTGTGTCCAATAACCACAATATTCTCCACCTGATAAAAACAAAACCAACAAATTAGTAGTTTATCATTCGTAATATATATTTATATTCGATACACATCCGAATTCGAATAACATAAATTAAGATTCTCGAGTGTATTTTAGTATGGTAGGATGCCTATGTTGCCGACATCAAAGAGTCGACATCCAGAATTTTTTTTTCTTAAAAAAAAGACTAGTAAATTGTGGATATAAAATTTTACTATTAGTTTACCTTGAGATGCAGGACTGCATATTCAATGGCAGCACCGACTCCAGTGTGTTTTTTCTACAGCAAATCGAAAACATAAAATACATTCGAAAGAAAGAATTTATAATAAGCTTTTCAATGTCCATCCTTTGAATAAAATAATGTAAATATGAGGCTAACCTTGTCGTAAGACGGGACCATATTGGCAATGTTACGGACCATAAAAGCCTCCCCCGGTTGGAAATCCAGGATGTGGGAAGGGCACACCCGAGAATCCGAGCATGCAAATACCAAGAACTATACAAATTTTTAAATTCATTTTCCCAATGAATAAAAACAAGGATAGAGTTAGATATCAAGTAACAAAATTTTATTTTAAAATTATTTTTTACCTATTAATTAATTAATTCGAATAGATATTACACATGTTTAATATAAGAGCGACCTATTTAGTCCAATTTATTTTATTTGTAAACGTCAATAACCTCTTATCTTACTTAAAAAAATATGTTAAATTAGTAGTACGTTAATATTATATACACGTCCCATTTCGTCAACCAATCATGCATTTATAAAGGTCACAAGGCTTTTTTTAGTTTGTTTATATTTGATACTTTCCGGGGGAAGGGGGGTTGGACCGACTCCATTAACAAAACAACAAATATTTCTAAACTTACCATGTGAGATAAATGCAAATCTTGTCTGTAATTAATAATAATCGGTAAAATAAAAACAAAGTTGATCATCTATGATAAGATAAGAGCGAACCTTGGGGCTTTGCCCTTTTGCAAGAGCACTGTACAGATCAGGATTTTTTCTGCAAAGATTAAAGGAAAGTACAAAACAATCCATTTAAGCTAATTATTATAATAAAAGAAAAATAAAATGTTGTATATACCCCTTTAATAAATGATTATAAATAAGATAATTTGTAGTCATTTTTAATTATTACATTGAAATAAGAAAAAGTTTAAATATACCCCTTTAATAATATTAATTATCATAAAAATAATATTTTAATTAGATAAAATTAAAAAATATTAACGGATAGTTCTTGGTCATTAATGACGTTTTGTCAAATTTGAAAGACACACATTAGGCGCATGAAGAAAGGAAAAAGGAAAAGCAATTAGTTACGTACTCGTATTTTTCTTTCTTGAAGTGAAGGAAACCGGTCTCGATCCGCTTGACCGGATTGAACTTCGTCGGATCGGCGGCAGCAGCCTCTAACTCGGCTGTTACCTGCTTGATTTTTGCGGCGGCGACGCTCCCGAGATCAGCTTTTTCACTGTAATCGAGGATGACGTGCGCCAATGAAAAAGAAACCGTTACGGAGTTTATTCAAGGTTTCGGTGGGAATAGTCAACAGAAATATAGGTAAATTGTCCGGGAATGGGCCCCACTTTCGAAAGAAACCACGGTTGATACCGTGTTGGATAAAACCGTCGAAATGACGGGTAAGGACGGCAAATTGAATTATTGGAAGACGGAGAGATAAATGCTAAAAGAGCAGCACTGCAATAATAATACCTGAGAAGCTTCGACAAAGCTGCAATGGCTTCCTCGTATGATTCACTACCCATGCTGTCTTCTTCTTTCTGTTACCTCAAAAAAAAATTCAAAATTATGAACATTAATCAGCACGATCTATCAAATTCAAACGAAAAGGTTAAACTAATTCCCGATCAAACCGAAAGCCGGTGAAGAAGTTTGAAAAAGGGAAGCAAAAAGCAAATCAAAAGGTGATCTGAATCGGGATTAACGCAAAAACAAAGGTTAAAAAGCTATGAACAGCACCAGAAAATCTTGTCTTTTTTTTTTTACAAACTCTGAGATTCTTCTGTCTGGTTCAGAATTTGATAAAAAGGGTAAGGAGCAGAGAAAAAAATATTTCACTAACCAGACAAGTTGACAAATGACAATCGTCTTTTCCCCCCGGAGATATCAGCTATTTTGATAGCTTCTGCTACAGATTAGGTGTCTATATTTATACTGGTTTATTAATTACTACGGTAAATGAAATTAACCTAGGTTAAATCAATGTACAGTCAAATTATAAAAAAAACAAAAGAAAAAAGTAAATAATTTACATCTTTGAAGAAATGAGAGTTGGGATTCATTACATCAGACGAGATACGCGGTTCACTTGTGTTTGCCCATGATAAGCAAAATTTGGCTGTCTACGATGAGAAGTGGTACGGTGTTGTTTGGTGTATGAATCATTTAGTTTTGTCCGTTTGATAAGGATTTTAAGTAGTTGATCGACGGTGATTAGCTTGTTTTGGGAAAATGTGGAGAAACATCTTTATCGAAATTGGGGGCTATGGCTACCGGGAATTACGGCGGGACAAGCGAAAATAAGACGACGTGCCAGGGCATCCACGTGGTGGGATTTTAGAGAGTGACGACGACGAAAATTTATTGATCTAATTGTGAAATTTGCTAATGAAATAAATTCATGACAATCTTGCATGAACATTTTTAAATACTGTCTACAATATTTTTAAAGAATTAAATGAAATGTAATTTAAACTATTACTTTATATATCGACGGTAAAAATATAATTTTATAAATGAATTAAGAAATCATATATGATTTATTTACTTTTATCTCCTTAATTAAATTAAAGACAATTACTTATTGGTATTGTTTGTGAAATTTAATTAAAGAGAATAACTTGCGCAAATTTTCATAGTTTGTATTTTGACTTTACAATTAAACTAAAAATATGTACAATAATTTAAAGGCTTAAATATACAAAAAGGTATCCTATATATGTCTGTTTTTTTAGTTTAGTATCTAACGTTTATTTCGTTTTAGTTTGATGTCTAACGTTTCATTAAGTTACTAAAAATGGGTTAAGTCGTAACAGACCGTTAGTTTCATCCGTTAAGTGATACTTGTTACAATCTGATAATTTAAAAAAAATTATATAAAATTTAAAAATAAAATTATATATATATATATATTAAAAGAAAACACATAAATTTCGAAAAAAGGGAAAAACTTTGAAAACCTCCGTTTCAACCCCTAAACCCACATCGACTATCGCCCTTTATAGTCGGCGAAGTTCCACCCGACCTCACCTCCCTCCAGCGACCAAAAACCCTATGAAATCATAACGCCAATCAATGACTAATCAATATTTTATATCCCGCGAACCCCAAGATGAAATCACAATCCCAAGTAATTTCGACAGCCAATTGAAAACTACGACGACTTATAACTATGATGATGACAAAGACTACATCGATGACAGTGATCGGAAGGGCGGCGGCGACAGATTAGTGTTGGATTTGAGGATTTTAGAGATTTTGAGGCTTTTTTTTAATTTAAAAGAAATATTTTTTTATAAATATAATAATATTTTTAGTATTTTAAAAAAATTTAAAATTACGAGATTGTGACACATGTCACTTAACGAAAAAAAACTAAAAGTCCGTCACAGCTTGATCCATTTCGAGTAACGGAATAAAACGTTAGACACCAAACTTGATCGAAATAAATATTAAACACTAAATTAAAAAAAAAACATTGGTTGGACACCTTCTGTATATTTAACCTAATTTAAACTTAGTTTATTGTTTATATATATGTTCACCGCAATTTTATCTTTCATATAGAGACGCCAGGATGTTTATGACATCTTATTATTATTATTATAGGTAGTTTTATATTTTGAAATTATTTTATTGTTGGTTGGAAAGGATTCGATCAAAAAATATAATATTATTAATAAAAAAAGTATTTGATTCACAAAATGTATGAAATATTAAATTAATATAATTATTTTATTTTATTATTTGATTCAAATATTATTTTTATATTTGATTTACTAAATATAACTTTTTTTTATCAATCTACGATGATTACAAGTAATATCCGTTTTAAAAATTCTCAACCATTTAATAATGAAAGCTCATGCATCATTGCAGTCTCTGATGCTCAGACGTGAAATCTTTAAGGATAACAAACATCTCTTTAACCACTAAGATAACTTGATTCGTAAAATATATTTTTATTATATTATCATTATTTTTTTCTAATAAGTTTAGCCTCCGATGTTAAATTGAAATATATTATTATTAACATTTATATAAATTTTTCATTAGATTCTACTTAAACTTTATTATTAATATATTAATTAAATATATTATAAATATATTTAATATAATAAATAATTTTATAATATTACATCATCAAATAATTAAAAATTTAAATTTAAAGAATAATATAAACAAGAAGGTTAACAAAACCATTAACTAAAATTTGTTTTATTTTATAAGGTTTGCATTACTTCTCGATCAATATTTTTTTGAGTTTTTACATCAATTTAGTCATTTTATAATTTTATTACTTGAAAGGTACATATTTTATTATTTAAATAATAATTTGGATTTGCCCAATTTATTATTTTTTTGTCCGAGTTGAAATGTATCGAATAATTTGACTCAGTCAACAAATGATATAAAAACCTATTAGATTCTTCATATTTTTTAAAATTGAACAATTAGTCCTAAAAAGTGAACAATTTTGCAAAGGAGCAATTAATGATTAATCAAAATGTTAATTTTTTTATCAGTTTTATATAATTTTGTTTAATATAATAATAAATTTAACTTTCAACATTTATACATAATGTTCATTTACTCTTAATTTTTAAAAAAAATAAATTTTACCCTTAATGTTTCTAAAATATGCAAATTATGAGTTAAATTGCATCAAATTGATACATTACGTAAATATTAACAACTACATTTAATATTTTGTCAATTAAAATTATATAGAATTGACAAAAATATTAAAATTAAAATTAAAATTAAAATTAATTGTTATAAATTATTCATTTTTGAGATCGATGTAAATTAATTTTATACTTTTAAAAAAGAATAATTTATCTAATTTCAAAATTAGAAATGTCAAACAAACTTAACCAAAAGAAATTGATTTGCACCACCATTATTATCAGACACACGATTTTAAGTTGGGAATGTGAATTTAAGAAGTTATATTAAAAAAATTGGGTATACAAAATTGCAAAATTTTAGAAAATGTAAAATTAAACTATCAATAAAAAACATGTAAATTATAAAGAGATTTTATTTTTTTTAGGGAATACGATCACACCCTTATGTCCATTTCGAATTATAATGTAAGCATCAACGAGGCTGGATCTTATTGGCCGAGTGGATTTAGATTCCTTGATGCTAAGTCGTCTATCCTTCTCCAAAACTACTTGTTTTTAGTGGCAATGATGGGGGGATGTAATTAATGAAGAGAAGTTTGAGCCATACATTCTTCATCTCCAAAAACAAACACCTAAAAACATCACAAGTCTATCATCACCTATGCATTACTTCTCTTCTGCCCTACCTACTTACTGGCCGAAAATTTAAGGATTGTTTCAGCACAGACATTTTGACCATTTATTGTGTTCCCTATTAGCCTTTCAAAACCACTCAAGTCTACCCCATAATCCTGGTCACTTCTACTATTTGCTCACACGTGCCATGATCAGGATGGATGAGGAGGCAAGTTAGGGAAGTTGTCTCTTAAATATTTAAAATTATTATATGTTTTAAAATTTTTTAAACATTTTTATTAAAAATATGATTTTTCTCTTAAAATTTTATAAATTTATATCGTTAAAAATCTGTATTTTCTATTAAAAAATTATTTCATCCTTATAAAATTAGTTTTTCATACTCACTTTGTCTCGATAATTGCTCGTGGGTTGAATTATTTGTTTTTAGTAAAGTCAGCCCATAAACTCCTCCTAATTTCACTTTTTAGAAGAAACTTCTCTCAAATTTAGAATTAGATTAAAAAATTGAAAATTCTTACCTAGAGAAGGTAAATTAGTCTTTCTAATAAAACTTAATTAATATATTAATAATATGTTAGTTATATTAATAATATTTTAAATATAAATGTTTATTAAATTTCGACAATGTAGGGTAATTAATACTATAATTTCATGAAAATTAAAATATTAACTTATTAAAAAACATATCACAACGGTAATTCAATAAAATTTATTTTTAAATAAATTTTTTGGATAAATTGTTTGTGTGTATTATCCAAGAAAAATAAGAAACCTGCTACAATCGACAAGATACTTAAAAAACGAGAGTACCCTACAAAGTAATGCTCCAAATAAAAAAATTATATATATAATAATTTTATATTTCTTTAATAATATGAAAAATAATGTCACATTTTATGAATCTTATTTTTAGAGACAATGTTATATTTTATGAAGCAAATAAACTCTTCTATGTTCACTTTAGAAATTGATAAGATTAAATTATTATTTTATTAATCACATCCCATTTGAATTATTGTTCATTTGACATAAATTTTAAATCAGATTGAGATTTGTGTAATCACATCTCATTTGAGTTATTATTCATTTGATAAAAATAATAATTTTGTTTTAGGTTTTCAAATAATTAAAAAAATGATTTTTTAATTCATCCTGATCCGTAGAGCACTTTTACTCGCCACTCATTGATTTTATTAATTATATGTTAATGGTATTCTTTTTGACTGAAAAAGTTTTAATGATTGAAAATTTGTTTTCTTAAGCTTTGATGAGTTACAAGATCTATTATATTAATTGATCGGATGATCAATAATATTTATATTATCTTATTTTGTATGAGATTAAATTTTGATATTTACTTTAAAAGGTTTGATGAGATATATGTAATTATAAACAGTTTGTATATATTTGCCGGCTTGTACTTATTTTCAGGAGTTGACGAAGGAATTTATGCTACGGACGAACTTCTAAAACTTAAATAGGATGTAAATTTATAAAATTTTAGGAGACGAAACATATTATCAATTGAAAATATCTGAAATATATACTAATTTAAAATTTTCAGGATGACAACTGTCCCCACTCGTTCTCTGTTCGGTCTATCCCTGCTTATTTTTAGGTGTCAACTTTGGTTTGCATTATTATATTGTCCCCACAAAACGGGACGAGAAGTGCCATCGAATCGAGCTTTTTTTCAATTGGTAAAAATAAATAAACCAAAAGAAGAAGAAAAAGGCAAGGTTAATGCCAAAATGCGAAGAAATGATCATACCGAGACCTTTGCCGAACAGCATAACAACATACACTTGGTAAATTTCGGAGCCATGCTTCACCTCAATTCACTCCACCGCCTGATTTAAATCACAGTTTCAAACTATTTGTAATAAGAATATTGAAATTAAATATTAATTTTAATTTCAGGTAATTAGATAAATAAGGTTTTTGTTCCTCTTAATTTTTTTATTTAAATATTTAATAAATCCTTATCCCTCTCAATATTAGATACTTGCTCCGTCCTAGTAAGGCATGAAAGTCTATACACAACTACGTCGACTACCTCTTTTTCAAACATACATATACACATGCATACCTAGGCTACTTGGTCTTCAAATTAAAGAGAAATTAAAAAGTAAATGAAAATACACGTACCTTTTTGGTTTTCTCAAATAAGCTATAATGGCGTTTGAGTTTGGCTACTTAAGATCCTTGTAAATGATGGGAGACTCAAGGGAGAAGAAGGGTTGGCATGGGATAAATGAAAGTGATATGGGTGACGACAATTGGGTTTTTTTTTTGTGCGTAAATTAAAAGGAAAAATACAAAAGAAATTTTATGGGGATAAATGGTTGGAGGGAGGTTGACGCTTCATCCTTGGTCCCTCTCAATCTAATCCTAATTCCTTACTTCTCAGGTCTACAGGCACCCACCGAGTTCTCCTTTATCCTATTATATATATATATATATATATATATAGTAAATTTTGAAAATATATCTAAAATAAATAGTTTAATAATGTAAAATGTGGATAATGTTTCTAGGGGATGCATGGTATGTAGGGACGTTTTGCTCATAAAATCTTCTATTATTGTAGGTAATTTTATATTTTTAATTTTTTTTTTATATTTGATTGGAAAAGATTAACTTGAGTTGGTAATATGATATTATCGATAAGGTTCAATTTTTCTGAGCAACCAATAAGAGGCATTTGAAGATAACCAAAAGAACTGTGGAGATTTATATGTTTGCATTTGCTTCTGCATTGTTGTTGTTTTAGCTTTGCCAGCTAAAAATAAATACAGAACGTTCATTGTATTTGAGAAACCCAGTCGAGAGTTGGTTGGTTTTTTATTTGACTCAGAGGGGAAGCAATAAACAAATGAAATTGCTTCAAACATGACTGCTTTAGAAATGCAATTTATAGCTTTAAAGTTTAGAAGTTTGTTTTAGGTTACTGAAGTTCAATATAGAATCACTTTTATAGGTTGGGAAAAAAGAATTCAAGGGAGAGAAATCAAGAGAAACTTAAAATGAATTGTGTGTGTTGAAACTCTGAACCAATGAAGGAGGGACTAGTGGAAAATTTTCTAAAGTGCTACTTATTTTTTCTGGTGCTGGGACTTACATAAAGGTAATTAAAAACAAATTTGCATTAGCAACTTGGTGTAATAGTTCCCCAAATTGTTTATTTTTGTCCTAGCATGTTACTATGTTAGTATGGTTCGTTTGTTTGATGGTCTATTGCCTGTTTAGAGATTCTTTTTGCCCAGGTTGAAGTCTGGGATCAGCAAGGTTGCTTTGGAAGAGGATGACGATGAAGGAAGAAACTCGAAACTAAGTTTGTCAATGACTTTAATAAATATTTTTTTTTGGGGGGGGGGGGGAATCCTCTCTTCTGATATAATATTTCAGCCGTGTTCTTTAGCCCTCTCCTTAGTTTTTCCTCTTGTCCACTCTTGGTTAAAGTTTGTGTTTCGAACATAAACCTTCATTAGATCTTATCTTCGATTATCATACTTCTCCTCACTTTGTCTTCTTCTTCTCAACGAAGTTTACTCATTACTCTTTTCCATTGTATTTAGTTATTAAGATTGTTGGAAACTGTGTGAAGTCGGGTTTTTTTTTAGCTGACTACCATTTGCTGGTTTTGTATTTTGGAACTTTGAAGAAAGGGTAAAGTAGAGATGCCAATATCTGGGACTGGGAATCATCCAAAAGTTTGTCAGGTGTGTTTTCTTCCTTGTCTGGGTATTAATAGTTTTATGCTATAAGTTCATATTTTTATGCATATTCTGTGGATTTTTGCTTTTACATTTACAGTTGATTATTAATTTCGGAGGTGCTAACGATGTAATTTCTGATGGTGTTTTAAGATTAGTGTATGGTGCATGCCGAAAAGATGGTAAACTTAATGCAAATATACCTTTTTTGTTATTTCACGTTGATCCCTTTTCATTCCAATAGAATTTGATAATTGTCTATACTAATCCTAAAAGGTTGCATTTTGACAATGTTCTGCACTTTGGCTGCTGTTGATTTTCAATCCTAACCAATCGATAGTATCGGTTTCGAGTTTGCTGTACTTAAATGCTGATGGAATTGAGAGATAAGAGAAGATGAGTAAGGTTGTGATTCATGTTTGGTCTGATTTTTGGATTTCCATATGTTGCATTTTCTTAATTTGCAGCAGTATCTGGGGGATAAAAGAAAGGGAATGTGAGGGCGAGAACCGAGGAACAAAACAAATACAGGAAACCAACCTTTCCTTCTTATGCTCCAACTGTGCTCTCTTGCTACCCACAGAAGTGCAGTGAGAGGGGATATCGAATTGCATGTGAATCGTCATCCACTTGTCAGGGAACTTGAACAATACCTAGGAAGAAACGACCTCCACATGCTGCTAAACGTAGACACAAGCGACAAATCAATCTGAATTTCTCGATGAGAATTACCAGCTTCGGCGTGTATTCTTTCCGGATGTGAAAACTGTTACGGATCCGGTGATTGTGAAGGAAGCAGCAAATGAAGGCCACTACTACCATCCGGCGAAAATTTGGTTGGATAATGAAGGAAATCCTATCCAAGCCCATGGAGGTGGTATGCTATATGATGAAAGATCCGGTACATACTATTGGAAGGGAGAATACACAGATGCAACTCACCTACGATGCACATAAGAAAGGTGCAATACAAGTAAATTTACTATTTTGAATACATAATCCAATTTTATTATCTTGTTTTTCTCAGTAAAGAATATATTGCTTGCATTCATAGAACAAAGAGAAACAAGATTTAATATTTGTTTTTGTTTTTTTTAGGATTTTAGTGATTAGTATTGGGGAAAGGATGAGACAGATTTCGTAGAAGAAAATTCTGAAAAAGGGAGAGAATTACATAAATGATTTATAGTTTCACTAAAACAGGCTGATGATGTAAGGATCAAAATTACTCTTTTTTTTAAGCGTAACCAAAATCGAACAGATCGAAAACATAAGAGACCACCAGTATAGTTTACCCTTTATGTTTTGTAAATATGTTCATAGAGAAGGGAAGAATACATCTCATGTCACTCAATTATTATTTTATTTATAAATCGGTCACGTTTTTCTAGAAGTTATAGTTTAGTCACTCAATTGAAGTATTGTTTCAAACAAGTCAATATCACTAAATAATAGACAAAATAATGACATAATTCGAACAATTTTAGTCTTTACAATTTATACATTCTATCAAATGTATCATAATTTAAAACAATTAAACAAATTTAATTATTCATATTTAAAAATCCTATCAATTTAGTCATTTCTTCTTCTTCCCCTTCTAAATTTTTATTCTTCTTCTAGAAATGTCAATACTAATTTCATGTTATTCTCCTAGTATAATAACAATTTAATAGTAAATTATGTTGTTTTATGGTATAATACAATTATTGAACTATTATTTTAATCCGATGGACTTGTTTGGTTTGACGTGTTACAAAAAAAAATTGATATAATTTTTAATTATGAATAATTAAACTTATTGTATTATTTTAAATTAGGACCAACTTGGTAAAATGTATAAATTTTGAGATTAAAATTATTATTTTGTAATACAAATTGGAAGTCTATTTTAATTTTAACAATAGAATAATCTATTTATAATAATATTTTAACTGAGTGATTAAATTATAATTTTTATAATAAAATAACACGTTTATAATTGAACTAATAACTAAATGATCTAGACGTATTTTATCCTAAATAACTCAATTAAAATATTGTCCAAATTCTTTGAAAGCCTTGAATTTAAAAATATTGCACATTTAAATGTGTTTGAATAATTTATTAAGCTGAGATATATTTCAAATGATTATTTGATGCTATAATTTTGTATTTTCTATTTTGTGCGAGGACTGAGGATGATTTGACTATTTTCGCACTCCTGACCTGAATGTTTACTTTAGGTTGAGCCCGGTCCGGGTTGCATAAGCGCGAACCAGGAATTCATTTGCTAAACCGAGACGCAATTCGAATAACTATAAATAATCTTTGAAAATGAAAAAAAGTAAAAAAATAAAAATTCAGCCTTGAGGGGTATGGAACAGTGTGCCTAACATTCTCAAACCTCAATTTCTCTTTTTTTTTTTTCATTTTTAATTAAAAAGCTAAAAGAGATTGTTAGATGACAGATCATAGATTTTCTCTGATGCCAAACAACAGATATTCTCAGGTAAGATTTCGAAACCTTTGTTCTATTTTGTTCTTTTCTTTTTCAAGTTTATTAGTTTTCTCTTATGAATTTCCCTCTATCATCTTCTACTGAATAATATTGGAAATCACCGGTAATATATGTTATCTTAATTCGTCTTCTTTAAAAGCTGGCAATCGAATTATTTATTTCGCTGTTCTTAAAATTTTAGATTCTTTATTGTCGCATGAGTTCTCAACTTTTCATTTTCCTTTTTTTGTTGATGGTGACTGTGTTGCCACCGTTTCGATTTAGCTTTTATCCTTTCAAGCAGTATATGTATATATATAATGGAATTAACAACCAAGTGATAAGCTTTTCGTTGTTCATTAGCTTTTTGCTTTTCAATTATTTTATTGTTTTGCTTTATTATATTACTGTATAAACAAATAGCAAAAGGTTAGAATATAATAGCTCTGCGTTTACTGCTTTTTTACCGTTAAACTTTTTTTTTTGGGTTTGTTTCCCAACTGAATTCACTTTTCAATTTCTGTTTCTAATACCCAAAAGCATGTTGCAAAGGAAGCAATCTAATGAGTTAATTGATGATTTATTTGCTTTTTGCTCAAAGTTGTATAACATGGATGTAGTGTTATTAGACCCGGTTTACAAGCAAAGATCTTCACTGCAGCATGGTAAAGATTCTTATTTGAGGATTTCTGTTCGAATTTCTATTGCTGTCACTAATGGCCGTTTAGCTTGTCTTTCTCTTTTAGTTGTGTTCATCAAACTATGGTTTCTATTTAGAACTCTGAATATTGGACTAAATGATTTACTTATCGGATATGTAGAAGTTAATGTTATTGTTTTTATTCTCAGATGTACCAGTTTGTTGATCAAGGAGAAATTTCAAAACCCCTAGTTGTCCAAGATGCACTCTCTCAAGAAATTTATGCCCCTTTAAATGTAGGTGGGAAGAAGGTAAAACTCTAATAAGTCCTGTGCAGTAGTTTTTGATGAATGTTGTTTGTATTATCTGACGGCAACGCTGCTTGCGTTTTAAAAATATGATCTGTCCAGGAATAATAGTAATGACTGACTAATGCTTATAACCGGATGGAAATTCTCAAGACTATTAATAAAATTATATGAAACTTTATAGACATTTATTTTTTACAGTGTTATTTGCATTATCTGCCATTCTTCTGGAAGATCTCAAGAACGTAATGTTGCTTGATTCAATTGTAACTAAAGAAAGGTTAAACAGTATCTTATCACTGAAATTCTGCAGTTAGAATTTTCAGATGCATTCTGGGATGACTTTCCTATTAGAGAAAAAAACTTCCTGTGCTTGCTTCAAAAGTAGTGTTAGCAGTCTAATTGTCTAATCAATATATGTAAATGTACATCATAATTAGGATGGGAACTAGAGACTGGAAAATTTACAATTATCAGAAGCAATTGTTCAATTATCTCAAATTGTATTTAAAATATAATAGAATGATTCCATTTGTCGGCTTTTCTGTATAGGAGAGAATCTGTGGCATACCTCAAGCAGAATGTCAAAGGTATAATCTATGAACTTGCTTAAATCTGTCTGCTGTCAAAGTTACCTTTTTAGTTCTGAAATATTTTTCTTAGATTAACAATATTAAATTTATAATTTTCCTACCTTGATTACAGTTTGAGGATTGTCATCGAGGAAAGAGTTGGATTGGCATCTTGTAATAAAATGGATTTTGCGAGAATTTGCACAGGACATGGATCACCTTGTCCAATTCCAGATCAGACAACCACCACATGCAAGCTCTTCAAAGTTCATGCTGTCACTCAATCTTCTCCTTCTACTATACTCTCTTTCACTGAGAAAGCATCTCAAAGTTCACATGTTTCACGTGCAATTGATTCAGACGACCAGCAATATAATGAAAGGGGAGCTTCTAGGGTGCTTCAGGATGTTCATATAGTAATCAGTTTAAATTATACAATTTTTCTATCTTTCCTATATTACCCCCTTTTAAGGTTCTTCGGAACAACCCCCCCCCCTGGTGGAAAAGGGAAAAATAAAAGAGAAGTATATAATTACCAGACTTATCCTTTTATTTCTCCTTTCATTTTTTTTAATTTTTCTCAGTCAACCCGATTAATGGAGGATTTTCTTGAACTAGCTAAGGAAAACACAAAGAAGGATCTGGAAACATGCGGTGTTCTTGGTGCTTTTCTTGTAAGATTTATTACTTTTTTTCTTTCAACATTCACAGTGTTTTGTATTAATGTTATTTATAGCATCATAAGTTGCGGACTTGAGGTGTATGTTGGCATAATTGGTTGTTTTCCTGAAGGTTCATGCTCTACAAATGCTTTATTTCATTGTCGCCTGGTAGTTAGGAAATAAATTTTCCTACACCTTTCAATGAAAAGAAATGGCTGTTGGTAGAAGCATAACATTGTAAATGGTTTAAGAAGATTTGTTAGGTGGGAATGTCACTTTAGCTGTTTTATTTGCTTTCTGTTTTGCTAGCCCAGAGCTTGGGGAATTAGATACTATGTTGCTCTGAATTTTTATTTGAAGCACCTGTGTTTGACACTTATCCGGACATGGGCAAGAGGTGTGATCACCCTCCAAAAACAAGGAAAAACATAGAAAACAACTTGAATATTCCCATGTCTGATACATACTTATATCTGTAACTCACACCCTAGTCTGAGTAACCGAGATAAGATATAGCCTCGTATTTTGTCCCTTATAAAACTCATTTTAACCTAGCATGTACCTTATCTGTATGTTCTGACAAAAAATAGTAAGAACCTATAACCAACTTAAGCCAGTCTGGAAAATGTTCCACCGATGAGGCTTACCAAGGAATTCTTCAACTAGGGGTGGGCAAACCTCGATTCAACTTGAAAAAACCAATTTTTTTTCAAATAGGACTCGTCAACTCAACTAACTCAATTTTTTTTACTCGACTCGATCGAATACTCACCCCTACTTTCAACAATATATTTAGGTGAAGTGATTTTTGTGTTCAAACTAATGTCTGCTAATGTGTTAAACACTATAGCTGGTCTAGATTCATTCTTGTCATACTTGAGTTTCTTATTTGAACTTCAGTGAGCTAGTCTGCCTAATGCCATTATTAAAGTAACCAATTTTACTTCCTTTTCCTTATGAAACAGGAAAGGGGAACTTTCTATGTAACCACTCTGATAATACCTAAACAGGAATCAACTTCAAATTCTGTAAGTGTGACGGAATTTTAACACCTTGATTAAGTTTAATATTTTACTTTGTCTTACACTTAGCACTTTCTGCTGTTAACTTGTCAATAATGAACAACAGTGTCAGGCTATTAGTGAGGAGGAAATATTTGCCATACAAAATGAGCGGTCCCTTTTTCCAGTGGGATGGATACATGTATGTTCAATTCATTTTTACATTAGTTTCATTTAGATTTCTGTTTCTTTTCTCTCTGGATTTTACAAGAAATAGGTAAAATCCTCAAATGCAAGTACCACTACGCCCTCAAACTGACCTCAGTGCCATGTTTCTTGTTTTCTATCAGACACACCCTTCTCAGAGTTGTTTCATGTCATCGGTAGATCTCCATACTCAATACTCGTATCAGGTAATTAAGTTAATTGTTTGTGCAGCCCAATTATTGCTCAAATATTGGGTCTAGATCATCCTAGACTCCAATCTGTTTATTCCTCTCTGGATAACTGGCTTATACCACATGCTTTACCTATGTATGATATTCTGATATTTCAAAAAGAGATCATTTAGAAAACAAACAATGTAATACTATTACTACTTTATTCCATTCATTCAACCAAACAATGCAATACTATTACTTCTCTATTCCATTTCCACCTAATAGCCATTCAATTCCTACTCTATTCCATCACAGTGAACCAAATGTACAGTAAGATTATTGCCACAGTGTGACGTTTCTCTAATTATTTTCAGGTGATGGTGCCAGAGGCTTTTGCCATTGTTGTGGCTCCAACCGATAATTCAAGGTCTGCCCCTCACACACAATGATTGAATTGTTGACAACTTGGATTATGTCACAGATAATACTGATAATGATTAATGCCTTCATCTGCATATCTAGGTTTATCTTTAATCCACTTTCTTTATTTTGGTTTTCGATCATGCTGATTAACTATATATTTCCTGACCTCCAATATGCATGACTTCCCATTGGCCTCTGTAACGAGTGAATATTGCTAACTACCATGGCCACATCATCCTACATCATCTATTCGTCGCCTTTATATGTAATACAGATGTGCCTTTGATATATAAGAGGGATTTGTACCCCGCCTCTTTGTTACAAAGATTGGTTTTAGGCTACTTCTCATAAATCTATAAAAAAAATATTTTTCTTCACATTCTATAAAGTGTAAAATATGAATCTAGCTGGTATAAGCCTACTTTGCTCATTGTTGACTTTGTTTCTTCTTAGTTCATTTGTAGTTGCAGGGCAGCTGCAGGCTCACTGTCTCAAACAAATGAATTATATATGTTTTATATGGCAAAATATTAAATTTAGGATCACATACTAGGTGAGATTGCTTCAATAGACATGCACTAATTGTAAAAGTTTTGCATAAAAAACGAGTCCTCTCATTATTTAAGTGAAAAAAGTATAAGAACTGCTTTGTTTACAATTTAAAAAAAAAAACCGTGATCAAGTTAATAGCATTGAGCTTTCATTGTTGAATTTCTTTCCAGGAGTTATGGGATATTCCGAATATCCCATCCCAGTGGAATGAGTGTCCTGAAAGAATGCCAAGAGAAAGGATCTCAATTTCATTCTCACAAAGAAACAGTAAATGGGAGCCCCATATATGAACACTGCACTCATGTCTACAAAAATTCAAATCTAAGGTTTGAGATCTTTGACCTGCGCTGAAATATGAAAATGTCCACAATTAAATGGGTGCAACCTGCATGCCACATAACAGAATCTTGCTGATAGGAACGGTGTTTCTTTTAATAAGTGAGCATACTACTTGTATTTGTATGTAATAATGATGAGGGTGCTCTCATTTTCACTTGTTATGCGTTCATTTAATTTTGTTTAGAATTAGTTATTTTACACTAATATCAAAGTCTACCAGATACAGTAATGGGATTCGGGGGACCAAGACCTCTCCTTCGACACCCTGAATATTTTTGAAGTCGCCTATATAGAACTTTTCTTCTAACCTAAATCACTTTTGCAATCGACATGATCTGTAATGGTAGAGAACTTGTATTTCTGATTCTGGTAAGACCAACTTCATCTTACATTTATATTTTTCTTTCTCTTAATATTATTTATATCTTTGTAATCCATATGTATTAAGCAGAGGAAAAATATTCTTAGTGTGCTTCTCTCAAGAGCGTAGGCGTTTTTGAAAAGTTTTTTTCTCCACCAACATCCACCGTCCGTTGTCCACCGTAATCGTCCGCCGCCGCCGTCCGCCGCTACACTCCAACCTCCTTTTGACGCCGTTTTTCCTGGGAAGATCGTCTGCTCATGGTGATTCCAAATCTGGGCGTAGATTTGCGATAAAGTCTCTCAATCGACACAGATCTACACGCCGTTCACTGCCGATTTTCGCCGCCTCCCGCCGACCGTGTCCGACACCGCCTCTCCACCGTACTCAGTGTCTTATCGCGACCATAACCCATTATCTTAGTGTCGAGAATCGTTGCTATTCTCCATGAATTTGCAGTGAGCAATTTCGGCAAGAACAGACGCACTTTCCTCCAAACCTTCTGCTCTTCTCCTCCGCCATCCCAGTCTTCAGACACAAAAAATCTTGGTGGACTTCATCCGCCACTGCCGAGTCTTGTATCCTTTTCCGCCTCTCGGCTGCTTCGGATCAGAGAATCAGTCGTCCTTCAAACTATCTTTGGATGTCTCTCGGATCAGGAGCACTTCTTTCACCTTCATCACAGTGAATATATGACGAGTTTCTTCACATCGTCCGCCGTCGCCGGTGGTTTTGAACGTTACTGCCAGTCCCAAAAGAAGCGCCAGGTCATTCCAACCAAAACCCAAGTGTTGATTTGCTGAACGGTGCTGCCGTTTGCCGTTGATAATTCGGTACATGCAAGCAGTGGTAGACGAAACTGTCTTTGGAAATGCTGATCCACTGAAGCATCCAAGAAACTGGAGCTTGGCTAAGCTTTTGAAGGAGTTCATCAGTATTGCAGGGAAGCTATTGGGACTCATTTGCAGCGATCTCAGAGGAAGATTTACTCGAATCTCTTAAATAGCTACATGAATCAAATTCTGTAGATTCAGGCGGTTTCAACTTCGTTAGTCCGGCAGTACTAAAAGGTTAAATCTGAATATGTTTTTTAGTCTTTGATTTTAAGTTGATTTGTGAATACGAGCGATTATCGCAACGGGTTTTGGGCTGGAACCAAAAATAATTATGGGATAAACGGTAGTACTGTCTGGAGGAACGATAACAATTCATGGAGGAAGGAAAAATACATACCAACTAAAAAGGGAACTACGGCTACATGTTATACACTATATGTGGAAAATATTCCTGAGAATCTTCATTGGAAAAAGCTTAGATCCCTGTTTTGCATCCATAGAAAGGTGATTGATGCTTTTATCCCTTCTAAAAAATCTATACCGGGGTATCGCTTTGGATTTATCAGATTTGCTACATTTGAAGAAGCCAAGAAAGCAGTTGTTAGGATGGATGACTTTTTCATTTTTGGACGCAAGATTAGAGTTTCGATGGCAAAATATAAGCCTAGGCAATTCTTCTGGAGAAGAACTAATACATCCTTTCAACGGAAGGATAGGGAGGTAGTTGACAAGAAGAGTTACATATCCTCGATAGAAGGGGTGGTTGATGAAGATAAATTAAGTGTTCTGGAAAATTACCTTGTGTGTTGGTGTAGAAATTTTGTCTCAATCTCGAACCTCGCAAGACAAATGAATGAAAAAGGTCTTAAGGGTTTTTCATTGATGAGAGCTACTGGAAATGTTGTCCTAATGTGTTTTGAATCCTTGATGTTACTAAATAGAATGAAGGTAGAAAATTCGGAGTCTCTGGCAGTGTGGTTCGATAGGATTGAATCATGGTAAAAAAACTTGATAGTTGAGAGTCGGCGTATATGGTTGGTTTGCGAAGGTATTCATTTTCATGCTTGGAACTGGGATACCTTTACAAACATTGCATCAAAGTGGGGGGAAATTATTGCAATCGATGAAAAGTCCCAATATCCATCGTCCTTTGATCGGGTTAAAATCCAAATCTTCTCAAGTATCATCTCTAGAATTGATGAGGTAGTACGATTGAAGGTTGAAGATCAATCGTTTGACGTCCTGGTTCGCGAGATCAATCCGAGTTTCAAGCCTATTCCTTGGTTCCCGAGGAAGAGGAAGAAGACACGATTGCCCAAAACAACGAAGAATCCAAAAATCAAATGTCAATCATGGCTACATTGGCCATCTCTAATACTCAAATTGAAGCTCCACACAATGGTCAATGCTCCCCTGAGGCTACACTGGGTTCCTCAACACTTGGATTGTTGGAAAACTTGTCGAAACAGATTGGGAAAGAAGTTGTTCCTGGAGGTGGAAACAATGGTGGTGAGATGTGTTTAACTTCAAGGCCATGTTCAGTTTTGGAGTCTTCATTACCTTGTGCCCTCAATCAATCAGATCAAAACGTTGAGGTATCTCATGCCCTGGAAGACGATCTCAGTAGTGGAGCAATAGGTGATTCTAACTGGTTGCAGGGGAAGGGTCTTCGAAAGGGATCAAAGGGCGGAAAGAAAAAAACATCACGAATCTAAAAGTAACAAGTAAAAGGATGAAGTGGCTTAACTGTCTCGGACGAATATTGGGTTTAAGTCTGATAGCGGATTTGGAAGGAGTTTTTATTGATTGGAGTGTTCCTTTAGGAGTCAGTTGTGTTTCTATCTTTAAAGATTAATGTACTGCTTTCGAATATTTTTGGTTTTTAGTGATGTGAGGCTTGGGATAGGTGTGAGAGGGTTTCGAATAGGGTTGACCTTGTAATATTTGGATGTTTAAAGGGGACTTGGAGATTTTATGGTTTTGATGTGGTGTATGTATCTTATTGGGGTGTTTTCAGACAAGGTGTAATGGTTATATTATTTAATAAATCATAAGGTACTCTTTTCCTCCTTCCAATATTTGTTGACATACGTTTTAGTATGTTGATGATTATGAAGGGGGTTTTAACAAGGCCTCCAATTCTTATAAAAAAAATCCATATGTATTTAAAAGAAAAAATTCTTACTTTGTGTTGAGTTTAGTTGGAGATATCAAAATTAAGTATTGTGATAAAGCATATGAATCATTAGGGGAGAACAGGTTGAACCTTTCTGAAGATAGGTTTGGCTATTGGTTCCTAGTAATTGATCGAACTCTCTTGGTTTTGGAATAAAAGTAGTAAATTTAGTTGTATAGAGAATGTCGTATATTGTTTCTGTTTGTGATATTTTGGTCCCCTTGTTGAGAAAATGCTTGGCTCTGCCCTTGTCCAAGGGAAACTTCCGTCCTTTTTCTCGGTTCGCTTTCCTTGCCCGGCCTTTCAACTTTCTAGAGGACATCATCTGTCATTGGTCCATTGCTTGCATGTAGTAGGGAATCTGTATTGATCTTAAGACTTGAAAGAGCTTTTCACATTCATACTTTTTTTTAATGGGGTCCCCAACTATAGTATAACTTTACTGATTGTTGATGGCAACAAATTGATCTAGTTGGCCTTTGTTTGATGTATATATGTTTGTACTAGATGATTATTGTGTTTGCTTAAACAATGAAAATTGTCCTGACTTAGCTCTGCCTGACATTCAAACGAAAAATAAAGTACACAGTTGTTTGAACATCATGTTGTTAGGGCCCCAACTCATTTGTTTGTCTCAAGGATCATCCTATTTCATCATGCAATGTAGATATTACAGAAAGCTGAATGTCTATTAAAGATAGGTGGCAGCAAGAACTTATTCTGTGGCCTTTATTCATATTCTTTATAGGGCATGGTACCTGAAGGTGAGAACTACTACTATGATTCTAGTTTGATTTTGAGATTCCCTTTGGAAATGCATAAATATATCAAAATTATTTAAGGGTGTGTTTGAAAAGTGACCCCGTAATTAGAGTTTGGTGTAATTGTTTGAGTTATACTGAAGTGAGTGTAATTAGAGTATGTAATCATAGTGTTCAATTCTTATAAGGATCGAAAATTAGAGGGATAAAGCGTGTAAAAAGTAAAAACTTCCTAATATTCTTTTATTTGTTTTTAACTAGTGTCTCATCTTTGCTCTCTCATATTCCTTTAGGTCATGGGATCTAGACCTATTAAGAGCACTCTCCTTCCTTTCCCAATAGTCTCCCTTTCTCCTCTCTCTCTAAGTAGGATTAGGATTAGATTTAGAATTTATTAAAAATAATTAATGTCTCATTGAGTTATATGAAATTACATTTTGTCAACCAAACATATTTAGAGAATTTTCGCAATTATAAGAGTGTAATTAGTAATTACCAACCACTGCTAATGCAGTGCTCTCTTTGTAACCAAAAAAGGAGTGTAATTAGTAATTACTTTGCGCTGTTCAAACACACCATAAATGTATTAATTTTTTTTTTATTTTTTTTACTTTTTATCGACGTATATATTAAATAAGTTTTGCTATTCGTACTTATATTTATAGTATTGTATTTTCTAGATGGGCCCTGATATGGATTTGTATCGTATTTTCATTTAACACCCAAAGTTTTAGATTATCGAAAGGATTTTTATTTGACATATTTATGTCATTTATTCTTATTAACCTCTAGAGTTAATCGACTAAGAGGTCTCTCAATTATGGTTCCTATTGTAGATTGATATTTAAATTTTAAAATATTTTATACCATTCTCTAAATTATGACAGATTCTAAATTGATTCTTAAAATTTTCGATTGTTGTTTCAGTTCTTAAAAATATCATTTTATTTTGAACTTTTCCCTAGTGCGTCGTTAATTCAATTGATTTCGTTAATATATTGTTAATTCAATTATTTTTTTAAGGTTTTAAGAATTGGGCTTATCTTCTAAAAATTTAATCTTTTTCTAAAAATCCTTAAAAAAATTTTAAAAGGTCATTGGTTTAGTTCATATGACTTTAAAAGTTAAAAAAATTAACCAATGAAGTTAGAGATATATTAATGCATTTTATTATTATATATTTTGTATATGTTAGTTTTTAAGAGGGACAAGTGTAAAAGAAGTATGGGGAAGGATGGTCCCCTTTGTGAAATTGGTCGGCTCATTGGCACGAGAAGATGCAGGGAAAGGTCACCCCCACTTTTGTATACGTGAACCAAATAATAGAGCTGCGTTGCGAGCTGTCATATCCAAACAGCTCTTTTCCGAGTGTCAAAAAAGGTTCCTTTTTTTTCTTCTCATTTATGAAACATCTTTAAACCTTTCATCCATAATCTCAAAAGGGAATAGTATGCCGCGAAATTCATCCACACCAACCATACGTAGCTTTACAAAATATTCCAAAATTATATATATATTTTAAAAACACTTCTAGGAAAAATATTTGTGAAAGTTTATCGATACGCTAATTATGAGAAAAATTAAAATATAACTTGTTAATATAAAAAATTGTAAAAATTGATGGTAATGGAAAATCCTTTTTAGGTTGTAAATAACAACTTTTCAGGTTTGATAAGTTGCAACTAAAAATATTACATTTTTTATAATATTTTTTATTGTAATAAAAAGATATTTTTATAATATTTTTTATTGTAATAAAAATATTATTTTTATAATATTTTCGATTATAAACCTTAACTTATCGTGATGTTACTTTTCGGTTGCAATCGAAAATATTATAAATTTATATATTTTTAAGTTAAACATTATAACATGTTAGATTAAATTTATTTTAAATTAGATTTTCGTAAAAATCAATTACCAAAATTATGACAAAAAGAGGTAACTTGACTTAGTAAAATAGTTAATAAGACGCAAAAGACACGTATTTAATATTGTAATTGTTCTTGAAAATAAAATATAGATGGAAACATAAGTGTAAAAACACGAGTCTTGGAAATTTGTTGTTATTGTTGGATTTTCCATATGTTGCGGTTGTTAATATGTTTAGGTTTCGAGAGGGCAAATACAATGTTTCGAAACTGGAGTGTTGAAAACCGTATCCGCGGTCTTAATAATTTCAAGACATTTACCGTCAGTTGATGTTCATGTTCCTTCATTCCTACCATAAGTATCCTCTACAGGTGTATAAAGAATCTTGAATAATAAAAGAATCTTTAAATGTTAAAAGACTTGAATATGGAATGGTTAGATACTGTAGTTTTGAATAACTTAAATAACAGGTTTTTTATCATACAGACTAGTAGTAAAATTCTATCTTTCTAATACATTTTGTGTAATCAAATTAGCAATAAAAATTGGAGCTTCATGGAATAGGATTTCTCTCACAGGTGCCATAGCATCAGTAATTTGATTGTTCTCCCTTCGAACATGATGCAATTTACACATTTTTGTTCGTTTAACGTTAAATTTAAGGACAAAAGTATATGTAGAGTGAAATGAGTTTGTCCCTCTCAATATCTGATCTAATCACGATTAAACCCTAAAATTTTAAATCAAAACATTAAATAAAATAAACAATATTAAAATAATAAGGGTAGAGTACATAAATGGTTCACTTGTTTTGTTGGGTCTCATGACTATTAAAAATTACAAAATATACCTCAACTATAAGACATTACTTTATTAGTCCTCCGATTATTAAAAGTTACAAAATGGTCGTCTAGCTATTCATATGTTTCAAATTCGTTTTTTTCGTTAAAAAATTGACGGCAATCTAAGTTGTACGTTAACCTATTGGCTGAGAAATGATAAAAATATGATCTCATAATCTTCAATGACTATCATATCTTAGCATGTTAACATTCAGTTCATACGACTGTTAAATTTTTAACAGAAAAATATGAGTTTGGAATATAATGAATAATCGAGTGACCATTTTATAACTTTTAATAGTCAAGAGATTCAACAAAACAACTCTCAATAATCGAAAGACAATTTTATAACTTGTAATAGTCATGAGACTCAACAAAGTAACACCCTATAATCAAAGGACCATTTGTATACTTTACCCAATAAATAAATTGTATAAACTAAAATTCACATAATTAATAGTTTAATAACTTTTTTAGTATATCAACAAAGAATGTAAAGTGATTTAATTAAATTGTAAACTCAATTATTAGGTAATCACTAATGTAATAGATAAACACATCATTTTTATATATCAAACTCATATCTCATCACGAAACCATACATGTGATTTTTTTTGGAATTATGATTATTTATTTGTGATTAATTATTTTAATTGTAATTATAATAGTCAAAATATCTGTAAGTATCCAGAATCACTAAAAAATAAGTTCATCGAATCATACAAATCTAAATAAAAGAAAGGTGGATAATAAACTATCATTGTCCAGATAAAATGTTGGACTGCTCCAATAAGGTTATATATATATATATATATAATTACAATAACATTAAATTCTGTACTCCCAAGATTTACAGAGAAAGAAGAAATAAAATTAAAATTATTTTAATTTTTTATTAATTAATTAGAAACCTAATATGGATGGACATTTCTGCTCAAGCCGCTGACGTTAGTGAAAAACCCGACCTGCTTATACGGTAAATACGACCGTCGTTTAACCTCTTCCTTTTGTGCTCTGTTTTTAACGTAAAGCTGTTCGTGAGCCGAAGGGGGCCCCGTTTTACAGCTCTTTTTTGCCTTCGGCTTCTCTTCGTTTACTTTCACCTTCAATTTCTTATCTTCTTTTTCGTTTTTCTTAATTTTTACCGACGACGACGAAGAAGTTGAAGGATTGTTTAAGAAGAAGAACGCGTCTTTTCCGTCGCTACTACATCGGAGCTTCAAATCTCTGAACCTCCAAAGCTTGGAGAATCCCGTCGAGTTGCTCTTCCGGCACGTATCCGGTGAGGCTTCCACCACGGTTCTTCCGCCTCCCCACTCACAGTACGGCCCCGCCGGCTCCGACGTGCTAGAAGACGACGACGACGAAGTATCCGGTGAATCTTCCACGAAAACCTTCCTCACCTGAGGAGGTAGAGCGACGTCACCCTCTTCGGTCTTCAAAACGATGCCGTTTTCATCGGCGAAGAGGAGATCTCGGTTGAATAACGGAAAAACCGGACGGATCTGACCGTCCTGGAACAAATCGTCAGCAGAAATCGGGGATCCATCGGGATTTAAACAATCAAATGAAAACTCTTCCTCCTCGTCCTCCTCCTCCCCCTCTTCTTCTTCTTCTCCTTCCTCTTCTTTCTCATCTTCCATTACCGGCTGACTGACTAATTTCTCTTCTTCTTCCTTATTAGGCTCCTCGTCTTTGAGCAGTAGTTTAAGTCCGAAATCGTGACTGAACTTTCCGGCGACGTCGTTATTGAAGGTGGGAGATAAAAACTGGGACGAACCCATGACTTGCATCAGCAAAACCAAAAGAAGAAGAAGCTCAAGAATGAAAGCTTTGATTATATGGCAGATATAAATAAATAAAGTAGAAAATTGAATTTAAGAAGTCGGTTTGAGCTTCTGGGGTTTTAAATACTGGTGGTTGGTCGAAACTTCCCACTCTTTTTTCTTTTCTTTTTTATTATCTAATATTAATAATATATTTTATTACACCTTAATTGCAAAGAAATGAACAAAAAGAGAGAGCTTAATCAGTACGAAATAATTGGAGATTTTATTTTATTTATTTCCCTTTTTGGAAAATCAGCAGTGCTTTTCTTATCCCTCTCATTTAGGGTAAATTATGGTACATGTCACGGTTTTTCAATATTTTGATGTTGGGCACCCACACTTTTAAAGATTATGTTTGAGCCATTCATATTATCGGTTAGTCATTGTTTTATTAATTAATTTAGTGTAATCATATATTAAAAATTTAAATTTTAATATTATAAATAAAGTAAATTAAATTTAAAAATATTTTCATAATAAAATTTCATAATATTTCATTTAAATTAATTAATTAATTAATATATCAAAATTGATATTTATAAAAAGAGTAAACCACACAATTAGTATCTAAACTATTACTTTCGTTCCATTTTGGTATCCAAAGTTTATTTTTTTCAAAACCATATCTAACGTTTAGTGTAGATTTTATTTTGATACTCGACCATTAAAACCTTAACAAAAACTGTTGACATTATATTTTTAATTTTTTAATGATGATGTAATATTATCTTATGATGACACATTAATATCATCATTTAGTTTTTAAAAATTAAATGAAAAATTGAAAAAATTAGCTAAATGTTAGACATGATTCTAAAAAATAAAGTTTGAATACTAAACAGAACAAAAATAATAAATTAAGTATTAAACGTGTAGTTTACCCTAGTAAAAAAATATTGGGAAAAAGAAAGTTTAAATGATAACCTGAAAGCAAATGAAGAAAGGCGGAGTAGGTGGTTGATGGACAAGTAACACGTGTTAATAATATTTGCTGGCGTAAGGTCATTGTTATAGATACATATTTTTAAGAAAAGGCTTAGCCCGTGGTCTCTAGACGGATGAACTTGTTTTGGGGTTGACATGCTCCTTTGTAACCCAAACTACCAAGATTCTCCAATTTTAATGAATTTTTTTAAATATATACATTTAAAAATAATTACATAAATTAATAAAATTAAAAATCCAAAAGTCAAATTATTTGATAACATTGGTAAACATGAACAACGGAGAATTTTATATTAGAGTGAGTGAATTTATAAAATATTGGGAAATAAAAATATATTAGCAATTGAAAATACGGAAGAAAGATCTACAATATATTAATTTAAATTTTTAGAGAAACGATTATTTCTAGCTCCCTCAATACATCCCTGTGTGCAAATAAGAGGAATTATTTAATTAACAACTTATATAAACTTTTATGTAAGAATGATTTTTTTATAAATTTAATATGAATGAAATTATAAAACTTCAAAAATGCAAAATTAATTATTAATAAAAATATTAAAATTATATAAAATTTTAAAATTTTAAATTTTTTAAGAGATATTAACACACGACTCATTATGTAGTCGATCATATTCATATACATGGTATGATTATGGTGGGTGGTTCGATGCATCATGCGTGATGTAACGGGGTAATGTCATGCCTTGAGCAACAAGTGTATTTATGCCCACGATTGGGCAACAAGAGTTTTAGAAATATATATATTTGAAAAGTCAATTCATTCATGTTGTTCTAGAATATTTTTTTTAGAATTTATTAAATGATATAAATGATTAAAAGGAAAGTTATTTTTCCTTAAGATTTTGAATCCAAATAATTTATTTATATATATTATCAATAATTAAAAATATAAATAAATGTTATTTTTTAATCATTTTATATTATTAAAAAAAAGTAAAAATAACAATTTTGTTAAGTTTATCATGTACATAAGGGTTGACTCCACTCCATTAGTTTTTCTATTTGATCTTTTCCCACACTTATCTATTTGATCTTTATAATTAATGCAAACAAAAAGATAATATAAAAAGTCAATACTCAGCTTATATTAATAAATACCTCAGTTAATATAATATTCGCATATTTATATATAAACACCAAACTTAGTTAGAATCTTAATTATTAAGTTAGAATCTTAATTATTAATATATTTAATAAAAAAAATAAGTGATTAAATAATATCACGAAAAATATTTTGGTTTTAAAGATTTTTTTGTTAAAAATATGTGTTTAACGTTTTCTTAGTTACATTTTTAGGTTCTTTGTTTTTTTTTCATTTTTTAATAATAAAAAATATTTAAAAAATAACTTAAAAACCTTAATTTATTTATAAAAAAACCAAAACTTTTAAAATGAAATTATCAAAAAACTATAAAAATTAAAATATCTCATTTCAACTCTCATTACCAACTGTCGCCGACCATCTCCAGCCAACATCGTCTTCGAACACTTGAGTTTTGATAGAAATTACAAGGTGGTTTGAATAGTAGTGATGGTGTGGCTTATGGATGTCGGGATCGGTTGGAACTGACAAAAAACAGTGGCGGTGGTTTAAAATCCGACGAACCTTTGAATGTTTCTCTAAGACAAACGGTGACACTTTACAACGAAAGGTCAATGGGTGTTTGATCGGGGGCCTACACCGGTGCCGATGAAGGTGACAGTTACAGTCACGAATGGTTGGCCGAAGACTATGGAAAGGGGAAAAGAGAAGGGGGAGGGGGGACGCGGGTTGAGTTGTTATTTTTTTAATAAAATATATTTTTATTTGTTTAATTTTTTAAATATATTATCAAAATTACCATTACATGACAAGTGTCACTTAACGGTTAAATTTAACGGCTGTTACGGTCCAAGCACCTAAAAGTGCTCCGATGAAAACGTTAGACACCTATTTTTTTAGTGAAAATTTTCTTTAGACACTAAAACATTTTTCGAGACAAAGTTTATGCACTTATTTTTGTATTAAGTCATATAAATATAGATATTGTTTTCTATTACACTATAAATGTGATAATAAATTTCAGTAGTATTTTGTGTTGCGGCCAAATGTTGAATTACATTTTTAATAAAATGCTCATATTGTGATTTTTTAATTAATTAATTAATTAATTAATTAATTAATTTTACATTATTTAAATTTATTGTTTAAATGAAATTTGGGGAAAATATTTTAAAAATTTAGAGCCAATCAGTTTAGAATATATATTTTCCAAATTTTTAAAAAAATATTTAAGATAGTCATACCATTTTAACTTAAGTAAGTCAATTGAATACGACTAATATCTTCAATTAATATAAAATAAAAATGATGAATAAAAATATTAAATACTTTTTATGAAACATTATAACATAATACTCCTTAAAAAATATTATAAATATGCTCATTAAAATATATTATATATAAGATGAGAAAATTATTTGATATAAACGTTGAGTAATTTTTTTATACAAATAAAAGTAATTAATTTTATTAGTAAATATGGAAAATCTAAGACCATAAACGTAAATTAAATATATAATTAGAACATTTTCTATAATCATTGACACAAGAAATTAATCACTTGAGATCATGTAATGAGCATATAAGGAAAAAGTTAAAATTCATCTAAAATCTCAAACAAAATATAATTACAAATAGATCTGATTGCATCAACAAACGAACCATAATAGAGGATTAAACTACTAAAAGACTATTGATAATCGCAAATTAGAGTCGAGCGTCGTGAGAAAACTATATTCGAATATAAATCATGTATCTAAATCTAATATGAGGATCCAAAGCATGACAAATCAGCATGATAACAAACAAACGACATCTTGATCAGTCGAGGCAACATTAAATCCTACACTGAGAAAATTAAACGAAGAGAATGATCGTTAAAAAAAACCCAAAACGTGTTAAAAGGTAGAGGAAAACATGACCTAAAAATAAAGAAAAATGTCATAAAAGTAAAGTTATTAAAAAATAAAAAAAATAAACGTACAATATAAAAAAATTATAAATATTAACAATCGACGATTAGCACTAAAATTGATATCGATGCTAACTAACAAAAAAAGAAAAAAGAAAAAGGAAAGAAGAGAGTAAACTAAGGCAAAGGAAAAGGATAAACGGCTCACATTGAGTAAATTTTATCATATCTCATTTTCATACTTCATAATTTTAATTTCTAAAATCTATAATTTAAGATTTATATATATTCTATGTATAAAAAAATTACTAGATATATATTCTATGCATCAAAAAAATAAATAAAATTGTACAAACATTAATTTACATATTCTATGCATAAAAAATTTATTCTTATATATATATATATATATATATATATAATTAGAAAATACTGAAATTTAATTGCTTAATTTATTAGATGTTGATCTAGATAACATTAGGTTCATTAAGGACAACAATGGTGTTCTTTTAGTGAAAGATCATGATATTAAGAGGGTTTGTAGTAGTTACTTCTTTGGCTTATTTAATGACAGTGCCTCCCCCTATAGAGATAATATCGTTGATGGGTCAGCCGACCATCATACTACGACCAATGACTGCCCTACAAGTAGGATTGGGTTTGAGGAAGTCAAAATGGCTCTTAGAAAGATGGGGAGGGACAAAGCTGTCGGTCCAGATCAAATTCCTATCACTGTGTGGTTGGCCCTAGGAGAAGAGGGAGTTAAGTGGTTGACCAATATCTTTAATAGTATTTTAGAGATTGCCAAGATGCCAGAGGAGTGGAGAGAGTCTACGGTGATACCAATCTATAAGAATAAAGGAGATCCCCAACGTTGTGGTAACTACAGAGGTATTAAACTACTCAGTCATACCATTAAGCTATGGGAAAGGGTGATAGAAGCTAGGTTGAGATAGGTTACTAGGGTTTTGGAAAACCAATTTGGCTTTATGCCAGACAGGTCTACTACGGAGGCGATTCATCTACTTCGACGGCTTATGGAGAAATATAGAGAAAAAATAGAGATCTTCACATGGCATTCATTGACCTTGAGAAGGCGTATGATA